ATGCCCAGGGCTGTCCGGGTGACCTGGAGGTGCTCCGCGGACGTGGGCACTGCTCCTGCATCACCGCCGGCTCGCTCAGGGCAATAACGGGGGTTCAGTCCCTCGGGGGGGTGGGCACAGGGTCACGTCACCCTTCTCCCATTTGGTTGGGAGGGATCCCACCATTCCCGGCAGGGTTGGATGCCATCTCCCCTCCCCATGCCACAGGAACCCCTCAAGAATCATTTGCCACCTGTGGGTTGGGGACCCCATGCCACGTCCCCACCAACACTCATCTCCCCCAGGCCGCCTGCCCTGCACCCGGGGAGCATCGCTGTGGCCGTCACGGGGCAGTCCTGGCCCTGGCCCATCACTTCCCCAGCGGGGTGTGGGATGCAGCCCGGTGGGGCGTGAGGTCCCCGGGGAAGCTGAGCCGAAAACGCCCCTCGGAGCCAGAGCCGTGATCCGCGCGATGCTGAGCCTCAAGTTGCCCCGGCTGCTCAGCATCCACCAAGTGCCTAAGGTCAGAGAGGAGCTTTTCTTCCCTATCTTGGGGGGATTTTGGGAGGTGTCAACTGGGAGCAACGTGCCAGGGTGGCCATCCCCACCCCAGGGCAGTGCTCAGCCCCTCCCCGGGACCACCACCCATGGAGGGGACACGGCTCTGTCCTGGCAGCAGGGTCCTGGGTCCTGAATTATGGGCACCCTCCTTCCAGCAACCTTCCTTCTTCCTCCTGCGATTTGTCCTTTCTTCTCCTCCAACGGCCACTGGTGCCAGTCCTTGCCTTGCAGGGGTACCGGGAGCAGGGGATCCTCTTCGGGTACCGCCCCCCCAGCAGCTCGGCAGCTGACTGCATCCTCAGCATCTTCCAAATGACCAACGAGACCCTCAACATCTGGACACACTTTGTGCCCGCCTGGTAGGTGCCATCTCCATGGGGCTCTCAGCATCCGCGGTAGGAGGTGGTGGGTCTGGGTGGTGGTGGAGGGACGGGGGCCACCCAAGGGGGCCACGCTCACCTTCCTCCACCCCGCCGGTACTTCGT